TCCCTCCCTCCCCGCCGCCCCCCCCATCTCTCCCTCACCAACAAGCTCTGAGCAGGATGGTCTCAGAGACCCTGTCATGTAGTTGCCTCCTGCTCACTCCTTGGAAAGGAGCTCTGGTAGGTAGTGCCTAAGGCGTTTGACTATTCAAACCCCCAGCCGCTATGTGGGGGGAAGATGGGGCAATCTACCCCTGTAGGATCTGCGTTCTTACCTAAAGGGGGTCCTTCTTACAGGGACACCCAAGAAGGGGAGCCAGCAGCCTGAACTGGCACCACACACACCTACAGACACACACGTCACACTCACATACACACAAACACGGACGACACACACACACATCCATCCCTCAGTACAAGGCCAGCTGAAGGTGGACAGCCAGTCAAGAAAGAGCTCAGGGCTGTAGGTCCCTGTGTGAGTGGTGTGCTGTGCAGCCTCCTGGGTGCGTACACACACATACACACACAAGTACCCATCCGTGCGTGTATACAGTTCCTAGACTGCAGTGTTACTGGAGCCACCAAGGGAAACGCTAACGCCGAGCAGGATGGTGGGAAAGGAAGGACCTTATGTGCCAGCTCCAGACTCAGTGGATTCACATCCAGTGACTGAGCCCCAAACGAAGGCTGGTTGGTGCTTTTATGAGTTCTTGTCTCCGGGATTTACAGGGTGTGAGGCAGTTGGTTACTTTTGAAGGACACTGGCTAGCTCTAGCTAAGGTGTGCCTCACCCAAGCCATGGTATTTTCAATCACCTTATATGCATGTGAGAGCTGGACAATGAATAAGGAAGACCAAAGAAGAGTTGATGCTTTTGAGTTGTGGTGTTGGTGAAGAATGCTGAAAGTACCATGGACTGCTAAAAGATCTAACAGATCTGTCCTGGAGGAAGTGCAGCTGGAATGCCCCTTGGAGGTGAGAATGGCCAGACTTCGTCTCACCTACTTTGGTCATGTTGTCAGAAGGGACCATTCCCTGGGGAAGGATGTCATGTGTGGTAAGGTGGAGGGTCGATGATAGAGGGGAAGGCCCTCAATGAGGTGGATTGCCACGGTGGCAGCAGCAGTGGGCTCAAGTGTAGCAGGGATCGTGGAGCTGGCTCAGGACCAGGTGGTGTTTCGTTCTGCTGTGCATAGATAGGGTCGCTATGAGTCAGAGACGACTCGATGGCACCTAACAACAGCAAGAGCTGGCTGTTTCACAGGAGCAGAAGTGTGTAAAGGGAAGGAGGGGAAGGAGGGATGGGAGTGCCAGTGGAGGAATTTTCCACTGTCTTTTGTTTTATAAGCTGGAGATGCCCTGCCCCAGTAGGTCCCTGTGTGAGCTGTGTGCAGTGCATCCTCCTGGGTGCATACACATACAAGTGCCCATATGTGTGTACACAGTTCCCGGACTGTAGGTCCCAGTGTGAGCTGTGTGCCATCCAGCTGCCTAGGCATACACACACACGTACACACATGTGCACACACACGGTCTTGTGTGAGCTGTGTGCAGTGCAGCCTCCTAGGTGCACACGCGTATAAGTACTCATGTGTGTGTGTGCATAGTTTCTGGACTATAGGTCCCTGTGTGAGCTGTGTGCAGTCCAGCCTCCTGGGCACGCACACACACACACACATACACATATGTGCATGCACACAGCTCCTGGACTGTAGTCCCTGTGTGAGCTGTTTCCTGTCCAGCCTCCTAGATGCACACACATACAAGTACCCATGTGTGCGTGTACACAGTTCATGTGTGAGCTGTGTGCCATGAAGCCTCCTGGGTTCACACACACACAAGTACCCATACGTGTGTGTACACAGTTCCTGGACTGTAGGTCCCTGTGTGAGCTGTGTGCAGTCCAGCCTCCTGGACACACACACATACACACATACATATGTACACACAGTTCCTGGACGGTAGGTGCCTATGTGTGCTGTGTGCCGTGCAGCCTCCTTGGTGCACACACACACACATGCTGGCTTTGGGCACCAGTGACCACAGCTCCACGCTGTGACAAGGCCCAGAGGTCAGAAAAAGACCCCTCCTGGCTTCCCAGCATCTCCACTCTCCCCAGCCCTCCTTCCCCAAAGGTCAAGGGATGAACAGGGGTCCCCCTCAGGCTTAGGCTGAACCCTGGGGCTGGGGCTTTTGTCCCTCTTGGAAATCAGCACCCCTGGGCAGAAAGAATGGAGGGGCCCTGCCCAAGCAGGAGGCAGGATCCAGTGCCCCTGGGTAGCCCCAGCCTTGGGTGCATGCCCAACTCCTTCCCCACCCCTTCCCTCAGCCACACCAGGCTCCCCTTACCCCATGAGTGACTGCCAGTGACTGACAGCATTCTAGGTGAGAATCAGGTCTCAGCGAGGGGACGAGGTGGCTCCATCGGTAGCCGAACTCCTCCTGATGCCCACCCCTCTCAGGGGACCTTCTGCCTCTCCCCTCACCCTGCCAGACCCCAGCCCCACCCTGCTTCTCCAGCCTCTCCTCTCGTACCCCTTGGGCAGATGCACTCTCAGGCCAGCAGTGGGCAGGTGCAGGCTAGAAACAGCTTGCAGACTGACCTTGAGGGCATAGACAGGGTCCCACAAGGGTGTCAAACTTTCCAGGTTTCCAGGGCCGCCTGCTCCAGCCCTCCCTGCATGGGGCCATGCAGGATCCCAGGGTACACTCGGGGTGAGACAGTGGTTACAGAGATAGGATGGTCTCACCCCTCCTGTTTCCGCAGGCTCCACCTCCCCAGGCACCGCCTCCAGGAAGCCCTCTCTGATGCCCCACCTGTGCTCCCCCTGGCTCTGGCATCCCACACTGCCTGCTCAGGGAGGTGACTTTTCACTGGGTTTGGGGCAGCGTCCTCCCATTTCCCTGGGCCAGGAGCAGCGAACATGGCCTCCCAGCGCCCAGGTTTCCCCCTGCTCCTGGCGCTCACCCTCGCCCTGCCTGTGAGCCTGGCCGCCCAAGGTAAGCGCTTCCTGGGCTCGGCCCCCACGGCACCCCCGGGGAGCTCAGGCCACCCCACTTCCCTCCTGGGGCAGGTGTGGGAGCAGTGCTGACTGTGACCTCCCACAGAGCCCCCCTCTCACAGTTTAGGTTCTCCTGGAGCAAGTTGGGGGGACAGTGGCACAGGACGTGGGCCAGGGGACGCCAGGGCAGGACTTCAGGGGTGTTGATTTCCTCCTGTTTCCTGGTTTGAGGTCTGGGGTCTCTCTCTTCTCTGATCGGCAGGTGCTCACAGGCCTTCATAAGAGAGGACATAGGTTCTCAGTTTGCTTTTGAAACAGATTTCTGAGTAAGGCTCTGCTACAAGGTGTCTATGAGCATTAAAGGAGTGTGAGAACAGGAAGGCACGGGGGCACACACTTGTGCAGAAACAAAACACTGTGAAAGTGCGTTTGGCGCAAAGCTGCCCTTCGGGTTTGCATGACAAGCTTAAGTGGTTTGTGTCACCACCCGGGAAGCTGGTCCTGCCAGAGCCTAGGCTGGTTCACCTGGGTCGTATCTGGGTGTCCCATGGACAAGCCAGAGCAAGGACAGGGGCACAGGCTCCAGAGACCTGAAAACAACAGGCAAACTGAGGCAGCGAGTAGGATGAGGTTAAAGGGTGTAGCACAGTGGCCCTGGGCTATTTGCAGGACTTCTCGAAGAGGGTGCAGATGTCCAGGTTAGAGTCCGCTTCGCTTTGGAGAAGTGCTTGGTGGCATGCCCGCTGTCCCCGACCCTGCGTTGCCCCTGCCCCGTCCCCGGGCCCCGGCAGAGGAAGGTCTCTGGCCCTGCCCGTCTGGTGATGCTGAGCCAGGTCCCTCCCCAGAGGTGCACCAGTCCCCCCGCTACGTGATCGCCCCCGAGGGAGGCTCTGTCAACATCGCCTGCTCCAGCAACAGCTCTCTGAAGGGGGTGTTCCTCATCCGAGACTGGCCGACGGCCGACGATGCCAAAGTGATCCACTACAGTGAGGGGAAGGTGCCCACCGTGGACGAGCTGTTCAGAATGCGAGTCAACTTCTCAGGGTCGCAGCAGAACCTGACCATCACTGTGCACCACCTGCAGCCCACCGACACCGGCATCTACACCTGCCAGGCTGTCCTGGATGACATAGTCTCAGGCTCCGGAACTCTGGTCCTGGTGACAGGTAGGAGCGTGCCCACTCCCGGAACAATGCTCTGCCCTCTTGGGGCTCTTCTGGGCACCTTCCCTCTTACATTTTCTGGAGTTACTCCTTCCACTGCAAAGCCCTTCTCCTCCAGGAAGCCCTCTGGACTTCCCCGACCTCCACAAGCCCATCCTGAACCCTGAAGGCACTATTAGAGCCTCTCACATCCCTGTGTCCCTTTCTTTCAGATCAACTGCCCCAAGGAGCAGAGTCCCACCAGAAGGACAGGTGGAGAGCCTTTAGCCTCTTTGTGGCCCTGGCCGTGGGCTGCTTCTTAGCCGGGCTGGGCCTGGGGGTGGTGTGTGCACTGAGGAGAACACAGGTGAGTGTGAGCCCCCATGTCCCCGTGTCCTGGCCCCTAAGCCACTCCTCTTAGGAGAGTGGAAGGCAAGACATACAGAGGTTAGTCCCAGGGAGCCTCTCCTGAGGGTCTCCAGAGAGTGCTGATGACCAGGGACAACCAGGGACCAACGTGGGAAGGGCCCCAGAACCTGCAGCAATGGCAAGATGTAGACATGGGTGCACAGCAGGGTGCGGGACCCGGGGAAGACACTCAGGGCAGGTGTGGCAGAGGTAAGGGGCAGAGGAGGGGTCCAGAGAGCATAGGTCAGCTGACCAGACTCCTGTAAATGCCTTGGGAGGTTCTGAGTGTGTGTGTGTGGGAAATGCACCTGTGTGAGGATCTGTGTGCACATATATGTGCCTGCTCATGTGTGTGTGTGAGTGTGTGCATATGTGAGGGTTTGTGTACGTATGTGTATGTCTGTTCATGTGTGTGTAAGTGTGTGTACGTGTGAGGCTCTCTGTGTGTGTATGCCTGTTTGTGCGTGCATATGAGTGTGTGCATGTGGGGGTCTGTGTGCTCATGTGTGTGTCTGTTCATGTGTATGTACATGTGTGAGGGTCTGTGTGCTCATGTGTGTGTCTGTTTGTGCATGTGTGAGTATGTGTGTGTGTGTGTGCGAGGCTCTGTGTGTGCATGTGTGCCTGTTCATGCATGTATATGAGTGTTTGCATGTGTGAGGGTCTGTGTGCAGAGATGTGGGTCTGTGTGTGTGCTCATGTGTAAAGATCTGTGTGCACATGTGTGTGTGTGTGCATGTGTGAGAGTTTGTGTGTACATGTGAGTTTATGGTGTGTGTGTGTGCATAGTGTGTGCATACATGAGGATCTGTGTGCACATGTGTATGCCTGTGTGTGTGTGTGTGTGAGAGAGAGAGAGCAGTCTGTGTGCACATGTGTGTGCTTGTTTGTGAGTGTATAAGTGTGTGTGAGAGAGAGGTTTTGTGCATGTGACTGTATGCCTGTGCATGCATATGTGTGCATGTGTGAGGGTCCATGTGCACATGTGAGCTCCTGGTGTGTGCCTGTTCATGAGTATGTGTGTCAGTATGTTTGGGGGTGGTCTGTGTGCACACACGTGCCTATTCATGCATGTGTGTGTGCGCATGTGTGAGGGTCTGTGTGCACATGTGACTGTATATATGTACATGCATATGTGTGTGCGTGTGTGTGTGTGTGTGTGTGTTGGAGGGGAAGGGAGGGTGATGGAGCAGGGGGCCAGGAAGTGGTCACTCAGCCGTTTGCCTTGGGCTAGGGCAGGAGCAGTGACTTCCATGGCCCCCCAGGTCCTTTGAGACCGCTGCTCTTGTCCACCCAGGGTTAGGGGTGATACTGGCAGGCTGTTGGGAAACTAAGAAGGGTGACTGTCCTGCCTATGAACAGACCTTAGGCAAGCAGGCTGGGGAAGCCCCACCACTGGTGTGGTCCTGGGGATGAGTGTGGGGGAGGGCTCCAAGCGTGGCCCCCAGTGAGGAGTCGGGTTTTGTCTCCAAGATCAAGAAGCTCTGCTCAAGGAGGAATCAGAGCACGGCCATTGTGGTCTATGAGGACATGTCCTGCAGCCGCCATAACACCCTGTCTGTCCCCAACCACTACCACTGAGTCCAGTGGCTAGGCGCCTGCAGCAGCGGACCTCAGAGAACTGGCCAGCAGGGCCACTTGCCCTGTCAGGTGGGCCCAGGCAACGGGCAACTCCATGGCGCTGGGGGATGCCTCCCTTGACCCATGCCAACTTAAGGGACACCTTCTCCAGGAAGCTCTCCTTGCCTCTGGCCACAAAGAGAAGCTGCTGGCTGTCCCTCCTGCCTTTTCCTCCCATGGCCACACAGGGGCTCCTCCACTTGATGGGTCTGGGGGTGGTGCGTGG